CCCCCCAAACAAATGAAAGCCGTTAGGACAAAAATTAAGTTTTCGGGCTGGAAGAATGGTGGTGTTGGTAGAAAGGAGGTCCGCTTACGTAAATCAACCAGATCCATATCCTTAAAATAACGAAACATTCAAAAGACCCTTTTCAAAATAATTTACTCCAGATATCATTAACATGATTTCTTTAACTATATGCCAATAAAATCAGAACGGTACTCTAAAAAGCAACATATGATTGATAGTGAACGCAAAAAAAGTTTCCCCTTATCAACATAATTGCACATTCGTTTCACATTTATTGTCTTATGACCTAGACGTTAATTCACAGTTAAATTTATACACAGCAGTGCACACCTTCTAAGAATGGTGCACAATATCATTAAAGTTCAATCACAATTTCCAATGGTTTAAAAGGTACAGTAATAACAATACTTAGGTAAAACAGCTGTAAACGCTGAACCTTTGGCATAGTTGTGAAGGTTATAGGGACATAATTACAGTCTACCGTTACTACATCATGTAGGTAAACCTCAAATTTGATCAAAATATTTTAATGGTTTAAAATGTACTGCCTAAACAGGACTTATCTAAATAATTTGCACACAATTGCCATTTGGCCTCATTTTGCTCGAAGTCATGCTTCTTCTCCTATGTACAAAACCATGTGATAAAGCGTCATAGTTCCATCTCCGTTTATGGCTAGGTATCTCATTATTAAACACAGTGACTCGGTAATGCTTGGACAGCTGTTTTCAATTAGGAAATTGCTACTATCAATCAGACATTTTATGATGAATATGATGTTATATTCAGAGATATTATTTTTACACGAAATTGGAAACGAATGCCTCAGATCTACCGATCTACAGAAACTCGTTGACTGAATGGAAGGCTATCAGATTTCCTCACTGTACCGGAATTCTGCCCGATGATGTCTCACAGCGTATTTATTATTAATGAAGTATGTAAACAATTGACCAGAGTCAATTTCAGAACGTACGCCTTCGCTTAAACATATTGTTCTGCTAAAGGGCAATGGCATCAATACCACTCATAAAATAAAAACAGAAGACAAAATTAATGTCAACACACAAACACAATATCAAAACTCAAAATAATTAACAACGGGCAATAACGGAGGAGATACATGATAGCATCACAAAGAGAAAGGCATAAACTGCTAAGCATTCCCCACCATTCGGTACCTATAAGACTGTGTATAAAACAATCACCGATGAGATATATAAAAACATAATAAACACATCAAAGTAATACGTATTACAAGAAAGGAGACAAAGACATTCGCTACGGAGTGGTAAACCTACACTGTTTATCAAAACAATCACCGAGAAGATAAATAACAATCAAAAAAACAAATCACAAATACAAAATACACAAATAAGTCAAAAACAGGTGGCACTCAATAGACTGTGTTAAAAACCAATCTGAAGTCCATAATCTCACATATCCTATCGACATCGGCTGAAAACGTTGGCTACGAAGGGATGGACGCTGCGTGCTAACGTCAATCACCTGGCAATTTGAACAGAATAGATATCCTCGTAAATAACTTTGTGTAATTCTAGCTTGTATGCGATAGCACGTTTTACCTGATTTTGTAGATGGAAAGAAGCACTTACCTATGAAGAAGAGGAAGGTGAATACAAGCAGTAAATATAACATACTGTCCTTCATCAATGCCAGGTCCTCAAGTCCAATGAGCCTGTTGATCCATTTATCGCCGATCTCCACATCTAGTGTCAATGGTACAATAGCACTACATGCGATGCCAGCTGTCATCATAGCTATCAGCTGGTATATGCTAAAGACTATCTTTAATTCGAACTCAGTGTCCTTTAGCACCACATCAAACAAGATGGCCGATAACAGTGTGACTACGCTGTACATAAATAGAGCTAGCATCCGCTTCCTGTGGAAGTACTCAAGGATAGGGACTATCGATGTCAAGTTCAGGAAAGTGAATCCAAGTCCTGGAATGAATCAACTTTAATAATGCAACAGGTAATCTTTTTTGTTTATATAAATACTGAGTATTTCTGACTTTGATAGGGGAAACGATCATACAATCAAAGAGGTCTGACGGTTAGGTATATAGTGGTATGACGGTTAGGTATATAGTCGTAGAAAAGCTAAGGTTAGGTATATAGTGGTAGAACGGTTAATGGTAACTTTATAGGGGTAGAAAAGCTAAGGTGAGGTATATAGTAGTAGAACAGTTAAGGTTAGGTTTATAGAGGTAGAAAAGCTAAGGTGAGGTATATAGTAGTAGAACAGTTAAGGTTAGTTTTATAGAGGTAGAAAAGCTAAGGTTCGGTATATAGTGGTAGAACAGCTAAGGTTAGGTATATAGTGGTAGAACGGTAAAGGTTAGGTTTATAGTGGTAGAAAAGATAAGGTTAGGTATATATTGGTAGAACAGTTAAGGTTAGGTATATAGTGGTAGAACGGTTAAGTAAAGACGTATGGTGGTAAATTTAAGTGATCAATAACTAACTAATCAATTCTTACTTACTGAATCACTTTATATTTATTCAATCACTTCTTTCTTGTTCAATATTATCTGATACGCAATCTTTAGCTACTAGCTCAATCATTACTGAATTACTGAATCAGTTCTACTTGCGTACTCACCCCCCCCCCCCCCCCCCCCCCCCCTCTCCCCTCCGGCTTCATATATACTTACCAGCTATACAGTAGAGTAAGTAATAGCATTCTCTATAAGACGAATGGGGAATCCATGTGAGAGCAAACAGGGGCACGATTACCATGGAACATCCGATGAAACCAACAATTCTGTAGCCGTATCTCGTCATCAATAGTCCGATCAGTGGTACTGAAAAAATATTTTAGAAAAATCAGCAATCCCCACTGAACGACAGCCAAGCCATCCACTGACCCCTATTTAAGAAATTATTTAAAACTGAATGATTATTTGACCTACTCCCCCATTATTTGACCTACTCCCCCATTATTTGACCTACTCCCCCATTATTTGACCCACTCCCCCATTATTTGACCCACTCCCCCATTATTTAGACCACTCCCCCATTATTTGACCTACTCCCCCATTATTTGACCTACTCCCCCATTATTTGACCCACTCCCCCATTATTTGACCCACTCCCCCATTATTTGACCTACTCCCCTATTATTTGACCCACTCCCCCATTATTTGACCTACTCCCCCATTATTTGACCCACTCCCGCATTATTTGACCTACTCCCCTATTATTTGACCCACTCCCCTATTATTTCACCCACTCCCCCATTATTTGACCTACTCCCCCATTATTTGACCTACTCCCCCATTATTTGACCTACTCCCCCATTATTTGAACTCCCCATTATTTGACCTACTCCACCATTATTTGACCCACTCCCCCATTATTTGACCTACACCCCCATTATTTGACCTAATCCCCATAAATCGACCACTCCCCCATTATTTGACCTAATCCCCATTATTTGACCTAATCCCCATAATTTGACCACTCCCCTATTATTTGACCTACTCCCCCATTATTTGACCTACTCCACCATTATTTGACCTACTCCGCCATTTTTTAAACGATTGACTAAACACGATTATGTATCGACTTTCCTGCATTTAAACTTTTAAAGAGATCAGGTTGCGTAGACTAAAATTCCAGTGAATAGTTGAGGATGAGCTTGGATGGATGTGTCACCGTTTTAGCTCAGATTTAGTTTAACTGGTATATTGGATTAAGAAGTCTTTGCAGATAGATGTACACATATCATTACATGTTTCCTTAAATGACGCCTAATACTTTGGCGTTTATTAAACTACAAAAAAACATATTTACAGATTATCAAAATTCATGATTTCAAAATTACAAATAACAACTTACAAAAACATCAAAATTACAAATAACCACTTACAAAAACATCAAAATTACAAATAAAACAAAAGAACTCAAAAACAAACATTAAGTTGTGTCAATCCCTTCGATTTCATAATGACTGTCCGTCGTTCAGTTTGTTTCAATTCGCACTAACGGCGTATTGCGTTGCTGTATATTAACACAGAACGATTCTGTCTGCGAATTATCGTCACTCCAATATCAAGTCATAAGTGTAAAAGAACCGTTATTTTTGCCTGTCAAACAAAAAGAATTATAAGTTCCCAACATGAAACAGCACGCACTGAATTTTTATATTGTTTAGTATAAATGTTTTAAAGGTAAATAATGCCAACTGCAGTATACAATAAGATTTCATGGACAATCATATTGATAGCATGGACCAAACATACTTACAAGCAACGGTTTGTGCAGAAACTAGGATTTCTTGAAGACGTTTGTTTTCACTTCTGCCGATCACCATCATAACACTTTTGTCGCAAATACTCTGGATGGCGATAACACACATTTTAATGACGGAACACGATATAACGATACATATCGCTTTGCTGCCACCATCTGGGGGCATGTGAACAGATCCTGGTTTATCTTCCTCTTCAAATTCCTCTTCTTCTTCATCCTCGGGATTTCCTTCCTCGTCGTTTTGAACATCTTCGGCACCAGTTTCCTGTAGGAAAGTAAACTTTTAAGTGAACTGATGGACAGGTGTTACACTTGTCAGGACACATTGTAAATGAGCTATCACCCTTCATCCTTTACTGTGATGTTCTTGTTTCACTGCAAGGAGTATATCACTTATAGTATAGCTTAACTAACAGACAGACGCAACCATGTAGAGGACCCCTCCAGGGTACCCAGCGTGACACATTTAAATATGTATTTCCTTACTTGATCACAGTTTGAATGACTAAACGTTTTAAACCAGGAAATCAGTCATATACATGTATATATCATTACGACTCAACTCCATAAAAAAAAGGTTGAAAATTAATGCTTATATGCATATATAGCATGTAGATAAGTACAAATACTACACCCATTCAGCACCTATATCAGACCATATATAGCATGTAGATAAATACAAACACTACACCCATTCATCACCTATATCAGATCATATATAGCATGTAGATAAATACAAATACTACACCCATTCATCACCTATATCAGACCATAATTTATATAGCATGTAGATAAATACAAACACTACACCCATTCAGCACCTATATCAGACCATCTATAGCATGTAGATAACTACAAACACTACACCCATTCAGCGCCTATATCAGATCATATATAGCATGTAGAAAAATACAAACACTACCCCCATTCAGCACCTATATCAGACCATAATTTATATAGCATGTAGATAAATACAAATACTACACCCATTCAGCACCTATACCAGACCATATATAGCGTGTAGATAACTACAAATACTACACCCATTCAGCACCTATATCAGACCATATATGGCATGTAGATAAATACAAATACTACACCCATTCATCACCTATATCAGACCATATACAGCATGTAGATAAATACAAATACTACACCCATTCAGCACCTATACCAGACCATATATAGCGTGTAGATAACTACAAATAATACACCCATTCAGCACCTATATCAGACCATATATAGCAATATATAGCGTGTAGATAACTACAAATACTACACCCATTCAGCATCTATATCAGACCATATATAGCATGTAGATAAATACGAATACTACACCCATTCAGCACCTATATCAGACCATATATAGCATGGAGATAAATACAAATACTACACCCATTCAGCACCTATACCAGACCATATATAGCGTGTAGATAACTACAAATACTACCCCCATTCAGCACCTATATCAGACCATATATAGCATGCAGATAAATACAGACACTACACCCATTCAGCACCTATATCAGACCATATATGGCATGTAGATAAATACAAATACTACACCCATTCATCACCTATATCAGACCATATATAGCATGTAGATAAATACAGACACTACACCCATTCAGCACCTATATCAGACCATATATGGCATGTAGATAAATACAAATACTACACCCATTCATCACCTATATCAGACCATATACAGCATGTAGATAAATACAAATACTACACCCATTCATCACCTATATCAGACCATATACAGCATGTAGATAAATACAAATACTACACCCATTGAGCACCTATATCAGACCATATATAGCATGTAGATACATACAAATACTACACCCATTCAGCACCTATATCAGACCATATATGGCATGTAGATAAATACAAATACTACACCCATTCAGCACCTATATCAGATCATATATAGCATGTAGATAACTACAAATACTACACCCATTCAGCACCTATATCAGACCATATTGTCGTTACGAGATTGACGTAATGCCTGTGTTTACAATAGTGTTTTTATATCTACATTCCCTATGAGCATAATATCTGATAAATATTCATGTAGCATTTTGTTTTCATCTCAATTAACATGGATAAACCACTGATAAAATTTGATGTAGTATCATGAGAAAAAGCAGATGACTATTGTAGGGAAATTGCCCCCAGTCGAGCCAGTAACAAGCGACTAGTGGGGTCGACACCGACAATTGCATACAAGTTTATACCAACAAAGTAAACATCTAACAAAATCACTTATATGAGATCGGCTAACAATGTCATTGTAGTGATAATAAGATAACCGTCACCAATACAGCGCTACTAGTGATAGGTCTGACTGTAAGCCACGAGTAACTACAATTACATCCCTGATGATATTGGCAAATCTTTACCCAGTTTTGATTCCAGAACTGATTCTGTACTTGATTCTATTGTGGTTGAAAGTGATGAAAAATGTGATACTTTGAAAATTCTGAAATTAGGAAAAGCATCTGGTCATGATTCTATAAGTCATCATATGCTAAAATTTACAGCGAATTCTATATGTAAGCCATTGTCAATTATTTTTAATATGTCACTAAATTCTAAAATATTCCCTGAAATATGGAAAAAGGGTATGATTTTACCTCTGTTCAAAAAGGGTGATAGACACTTGGTGTCAAATTACCGACCAATTACATTGTTGTCTTGTATAGGTAAGGTTTTTGAAAGAGTTGTATTGAAACACATCTATAATTTTTTCCTTGATCATTCTTTATTTTAAGAAAAGCAATCTGGTTTTATGATTCATCATTCCACTGTCCATCATTTAATCGAAATTTACCATAATATATGTTGTTCATTAGAAGAAAAAACCCATACTTGTCTAATTTGTTGTGTTTTATCGAAGGCTTTTGACCGAGTTTGGCAAAGGGTCTTTTACATAAATTGCATGCTTATGGTATTAGAGATGGTTTACTACATTGGTTAAAAAATAACATTTCAAACAGACAACAACAGGTTCTTGTTAAAGGTGTGTATTCTAATATAGGTTACACAAATGCTGGTGGACCACAAGGAAGTGTGTTAGGTCCTCTGTTATTTTTGGTTTATATTAATGATATTGTTGATAAGTTAAATAGTATTTCACGCTTATTTGCTGATGATACCTCTTTGATGTATTCTTCGTCTTCTTATGCTGGTATTGAAATGTGTGTCAACAGAGATTTGGAAAAACTTGACAAATGGTCACGGGATTGGCTTACTAAATTTAATCACCAGAAAACTGATGTGTTATTAATATCTTATTCGCGAAATATCCTTCCTTTACAGATTTTTTTGGTACTGAGACTCTGAATTTTGTTGAAAGTCATAAACATTAAGGCTTAATATTTAGTGCAGATGCAAAATGGTCTTTCCATATTTGCGAAATTCAAAAAATATGCATAAAAACGGTATCAGTACTACGAAAGTTTAAATTTGTGTTAAGTAGGAAAACTTTGTTAAGAATATATAAAGTATTTGTGTTGCCTGTGTTGGAATATGCCTGTGAAGTTTGGGATGTTTGTTCTCTGGCAGATCTAACTAAACTTGAACAAGTTCAGCTTGAAGCAGCAAGAATAATTACTGGCCTACCCTCTTTTTCTAGTAAACAATCACTGTATCAAGAATCCCAACTTGAACCTCTATCTGAAAGAAGAAAACTTAAGAAACTTTCCCTAATGTACAAACTCCATAATAAACAAACACCTTCTTATTTAACTAACATTCTTCCTCCTAAAGTATGCGAACGCAATAGCTACAACTTTAGAAATACTGAAAACAACACTGTTCCCAATTTCCGACTGTCTAGTTCATTCCAATCCTTTATTCCTTCTTCTATAAGACTATGGAACGATTTACCAAATACTGTCAGAGAGCAGCCATCCGTTAACATTTTTAAATCATCGATTCAGCGTAACCGAGGGTACTTGTTGCCTATTTTTTTTCATGTAGGAAATCGAAAAATAAATATTTTACATACAAGATTGCGTCATTCATGTAGTAGTTTAAATTATGATTTGTATAGAGTTAATATTATAGGTGATCCAATGTGTGCATGTGGAAATGCGTGTGAAAATGCAGTCCATTATTATTTTTTGATTGTATGCTGTATATCAGACAAAGACAAATTTTGATTGATGATATCTTACGCTATTGTAATATTTCTCTAAATGTTATTCTGTACGGTTCTCCAAACTTGTCAGATGAAGACAATGAAAATATCTTCAACATAGTCCAAACCTACATTAAAAATTGTAACAGATTTTAAGGTCAGTAGTATTATCCTATCATCTCTCTTTCTTATTCTTCTTAATTTCTTTTTCTTCCCTTTCCCTTCCTTTCTTCTTTGTTCATACATGTATATATATATATTACATAAATATATTTGTTGTTGTTGTCATGTAATCAATATAATGAAAGGTATTGGAGAGGGCGTTTCTAAGTTGAGATAACTTGTGCCTAACCTTTTTGTTGAATGACAAATAAAATATGTTTTAATAAAAAATACATCCCTCTCCTAACATTAGACCACTGTATATAACCCAAGTATATTATATCTGCAAAATACCATTAAATATCCCTAGCTTGATGTTAATTGTATTGTCTTTCTGCTAAAGCAATTAAACCTTTTGTCATTCCTTTGAACAAAGGCAATAAATGTTACATCTTTTTTTTAATCAGAAAGCAATAACTGATTCAGAAAAAAGTATGTATATTTCTGTGTTGTTTAACTTGGACAGTTAAGTTAAAAGTATTTTTCCTTAATGCAAATTTAGTATACAAAATATTGAATCGTTTTCATTGCATAAAACCCCATCCCCAGTTTCATTGTAGAAAACACTATTCTTCTCAGCCTCATTGTATCGATCTAACATTACCTTCAGTTTCACTGTATAAAATAGTGTCTTCAGTTTTAATAAACATAACCTTAGATTATCTTCATTTTATCTATGATTACTTATCTTTAGTTTCACATCTTAGAACCTGACCTTCTCCTCGGCTTTGTCGTCTTCCTTTTCTTCCTTAACCGACTTGATCGACTCAACCGGGGACGCCATGATGGTGTATCCTGGTATCTCCTACAATGGTCTGTGTTCTGACTAGCAACAGTTATTTATCCTGGACAATTGTTGTCAAATTACAAATGTCGTTGTCCATATCGTTCTGAAAATATCATTAACGCTGTAAAATGCCATCATTATTACGTAACCTTTCGTGCGCCATGGAAACTCTACACAGTGTGTCCCCTATTACATCAATGCTAACCGATAAACAGTGGGGGGTGGGATGGAGGAGAGGGGGGGGGGAGTTGTTGTTAAAATTCTGAATGTTTATAACGTTATTTTAATTATTACATACGTATTCAACTGTCGCAATCATATTGTGGCAATAATCTGTATAAATATATGATTGTATCAGCAGAAAATAGAGTAATAACTCTTCTCCTGATTGCAAACAATGCATATCCTTCTTGCAAAGAGAACTAGGCTTGCTTGATGACCAACGAACCCCCGCCTTAGCATTTCTCAATTGTACGAAAGACGAAACACAGTTATCACTCTTCCGTAATACCGTCAGAGCACTGGACTCCCATGCCTCATACCTAACTGAGGGGACGCGTTTGTTCTCTTTTTGTGATAACTTTTAACCAAATAAGGCGATATTTTATAAAAAGAAAAATGACGATAGAAAAGATGAAATAAAGCGAAGATGAGTGATATATTACAAACGACTGTATGCATTGTTATAGAAACAAACTGCCACGCCTCTTAACGATTTGTTTTCTTGTTAAACGATGCTAAATTTATAAGAAGCTTATCAGGACTGGTAAAAAAAATGGCCAATTCCTCAATTTCACTTTCAGGAATATCGACGATGTGCAGTATTTGAATAACAATGAATGTAGTGACCACATCGATCATATATACCTTTCTGAGCCTGAGATCAAAGACACTGCATACTCTTCTACTTCAGACGCTTTTCTCGATCTTTACTTACTACATGACTACATTGACAGCTTACTACTAGGCTTTACGATAAGCGGGACGATTTCGATTTTTCGATCTCGAACTTTCCCTTTCTTGGTATTAACATCCCTGCTTCCCTAACCTATGGTGTTTACCTCCCTTACATATGGTGTTCACGTGTCGCAGTTGTTATGGTATTTATGGTCTTGCTCCGAACATCATGACATACGTGATAGATGTCGACAGCTGACGAACAAACTTACAGCACAGGGTCTCCGTGATAGATATCGACTGCTGACGAACAAACTTACATCACAGGATTTCCGTGATAGATGTCGACTGCTGACGAACAAACTTACAGCACAGGATTTCCGTGATAGACGCCGACTGCTGACGAACAAACTTACAACACAGGATTTCCGTGATAGATGTCGACTGCTGACGAACAAACTAACAGCACAGGATTTTCGTGATAGATGTCGACTGCTGACGAACAAACTTACAACACAGGATTTCCGTGATAGATGTCGACTGATGACGAACAAACTTACAGCACAGGATGTCCGTGATAGATGTCGACTGCTGACGAACAAACTTACAGCACAGGATTTCCGTGATAGATGTCGACTGCTGACGAATAAACTTACAGCACAGGATTTCCATGATAGATGTCGACTGCTGACGAACAAATTTACAGCACAGGATTTCCAACGCTGCAGGTTGGTTAACATTGTGGACAAGTTATATGATCGCCATCACGATCTCATAGAAAAATATATTATCTGTTTGTGTGATATGAAGGTAGATGTTTTGGTAATGCTCATTAGTACGACTCGTGGTTTTATTTTGCCTGTTCTAGGTGTGAGGACATGACATTAGTACGACTCGTGGTTTTGTTTTCACTGCCTGTTCTAAGAGTGAGGACATGACATTAGTACGACTCGTGGTTTTGTTTTCACTGCCTGTTCTAGGTGTGAGGACATGACATTAGTACGACTCGTGGTTTTGTTTTCACTGCCTGTTCTAGGTGTGAGGACATGACATTAGTACGACTCGTGGTTTTGTTTTCACTGCCTGTTCTAGGTGTGAGGACATGACATTAGTACGACTCGTGGTTTTGTTTTCACTGCCTGTTCTAGGTGTGAGGACATGACATTAGTACGACTCGTGGTTTTGTTTTCACTGCCTGTTCTAGGTGTGAGGACATGACATTAGTACGACTCGTGGTTTTGTTTTCACTGCCTGTTCTAGGTGTGAGGACATGACATTAGTACGACTCGTGGTTTTGTTTTCACTGCCTGTTCTAGGTGTGAGGACATGACATTAGTACGACTCGTGGTTTTGTTTTCACTGCCTGTTCTAGGTGTGAGGACATGACATTAGTACGACTCGTGGTTTTGTTTTCACTGCCTGTTCTAGGTGTGAGGACATGACATTAGTACGACTCGTGGTTTTGTTTTCACTGCCTGTTCTAGGTGTGAGGACATGACATTGGTACGACTCGTGGTTTTGTTTTCACTACCTGTTCTAAGTGTGAGGACATGACATTAGTACGACTCGTGGTTTTCTTTTCACTGCCTGTTCTAGGTGTGAGGACATGACATTAGTACGACTCGTGGTTTTGTTTTCACTGTCTGTTCTAGATGTGAGGACATGACATTGGTACGACTCGTGGTTTTATTTTCACTACCTGTTCTAAGTGTGAGGACATGACATTAGTACGACTCGTGTTTTGGTTTTGTTTTCACTGCCTGTTCTAGGTGTGATGACATGACATTAGTACGACTCGTAGCTTTGTTTTCACTGCCTGTTCTAAGTGTGAGGACTTGACATTAGTACGACTCGTGGTTTTGTTTTCACAGCCTGTTCTAAGTGTGAGGACATGACATTAGTTCGACTCGTGGTTTTGTTTTTACTGCCTGTTCTAGGTGTGAGGACATGACATTAGTACGGCTCGTGGTTTTGTTTTCACTGCCTGTTCTAGGTGTGATGACATGACATTAGTACGACTCGTAGCTTTGTTTTCACTGCCTGTTCTAAGTGTGAGGACTTGACATTAGTACGACTCGTGGTTTTGTTTTCACTACCTGTTCTAGGTGTGTGGACATGACATTAGTACGACTCGTTGTTTTGTTTTCACTGTCTGTTCTAGATGTGAGGACATGACATTGGTACGACTCGTCGTTTTATTTTCACTACCTGTTCTAAGTGTGAGGACATGACATTATTACGACTCGTGGTTTTGTTTTCACTGCCTGTTCTAAGTGTGAGGACTTGACATTAGTACGACTCGTGGTTTTGTTTTCACTGTCTGTTCTAGGTGTGAGGACATGACATTATTTTGACCCAGATTCACATGGAGTGTGGTCAATGAAGCAGAAGACACTTGTCCTTCCGGAATAATGATCTTATTCTCTTATTATTTTTTCAATGGTTTCTATTTCAATCTTTCCTTTTTTTCCTAACTGTGTTGATTTTGAGCTCGAATTGTGGTTTGTTGACGCTTCGGTACACTTTCGTTGTGGATTTCTTTTATAGTAGCATATCAATTATATATCTGCTGTCATGTGACCCCAGCTATCGCATCGGAAGAAAATCTCATTTCATTATTAATCAAGAAATTGTTTTTTCCCCAATACAAACGTTGATCGGTCGACCAATACGTAGAACACCTTTATTGGACCTCAATATCGATAAGCTGGCGTTGCGGTGTTTACTCAAGTAATGACCTGCATGTTATGTTTAATCGGAATACACTTAGCAATCATCAGCAGTATAGAATCACAATGGCGAATATCTCAAGAGAATAGGGTTTGCCTTTTATAAAGTACCCGGGCCCAGAAGGGATTATACCTGATACACTGTTGATCAAAGCATCCCTTTATCTCCTACCTCTACGGCGGTTAAAGATGTATTCGCGAATACAGTATAGCATAGCACGGGTGTACGTTTGGTAATACATAAAACACTATACGATAAAAAAGGAAGCATGGAGGTACTCTGGTTTGTTGTGGTCGTAATGTTTACTTTTAGAAACCTTCTTTGTGCACAAGGTAAGATATTTAATTTTGTTTTCAATTGATAAAGATAGTTTTCATTAAAAATGTCATTACTAGAAAGAACATTTGTGATCTACGGTAATATTCGAGGCCTAAATTCTATAATATTTCTCAGCTTAGTATACAAATTGGCCATGTAGGGATTAAACGTATGAACGCAAAACGGTTACATCCATTTCAAATAAAGCCCACTATACACCCATAACATGAAGCTATTCCGGCCTTAATGTTAAAATAATTTCGTTCATTGTGTATATATACCGTATAATAACGTTTTAGTTACTTAAGGTCAAATTTATGATTATCTCTTGTATTGCGGTATTAAAGTTTCTGTATAATCAGTGCAAATGACATTCATAAAACAGCTTAGTCTCATGAATGTGTTTGCTTCTCGCGCATATCTCACGAGGCGGGACGAGACACGTTAAATGAACAGATATAAAAGCGTTCATATCCCTATGAATGCAGATTCTATTTCCTGGTAGAAATTATACATGTACAGGGATTAGCAGCAGACATGTAGATCCATTGTTATTTCTTACCCCTACCAAATTCAGATGGCTCTTTGTTTCTATTTGATTTTCAGATGTTCCTATAAAGAACAGTGCTTGGTCTGTAAATCAACAATATTCAAACAGGATAGAACTACCTGCTTTGTTCGACATGGAAGGACACTCCGCTCTAGCATGTACCGTGGAATGTGCAAAAATTACCGGATGTGACGTAGTATCCTACTCATCGTCTTTAAAACAATGTCGTGGGTACGTTTCCGTCCTGACCACACCCACCACGACTCCCACTACAGCTGTGGTGCCCTTCGCAACGTCCGAGCCATCGACAAACGGAACTCGAGTGTTGAAAAGTGTGTCTACTTTTTGCCTCAATGTTGTGGTAATATAATTTAAAGGATCATTGAGTACAGGTAAAAATGAATAAAAAGTCAATGTGTAGATTATTTAATTTATATACTTGACATTACTCATCGTATCCTCATTCTTTTTCGCAATAACTATACTATTATTGTTTTTCTAATTTGTTTCAACGTGACTTCATAACTGTTGTTTTTCCTACTTGCTTTAAGAGTTTCTGTCGGACATCACAACACGATTACTGTTTTCCCTCGGCTGTTTTAGAGTTTGTTCTGGACGAAACCGCACAACTTTTGTTTTCCTCACCTGTTTCAGGAGTTTGTGCTGGACGTAACTACACGTTTGTAGCCGACTTGAACTGGTGTGTCCGGTTCGTGTTGGCTCCGCAGGAGGACTGGTCAGGAGCCCAGCTAGCCTGTCAGGAGAGCGGGGGAAAGCTGGCTGTGCTGGACACGTTCGATAAATATTCCTACATCTACGACAACTTCTACGAGTACTACTACAGTATGTACAGTGTGTGTTACTTAACACCTTATAACGTCTTAGTTTGGTTTGAGTTAGCTCCCCTAAGAAACTTTCAATCACCATTATATCGAAAACAAATCAATTTAGCGCTACCTGATCGTCCAAAATACATGTGTACTTTGTGTTTCTTTAAAGTTAGCATCGTGTATTAAGTACAATTTACAGTATGCAGAAAGATCGGAACTCCTCTGTTAAAGAGTTACAAAGCACACTTTATAATGCAGCTAGTGTATACCCCTTAGGTCGTATGCTACCATAAACATTGTACGGTGACTTGTGCTGAATCTTTCTATTTTTTAAATGTTTATTAGGATTAAATAACAATTCAGAATTCCTTCGTTATCATAGCATATATTTAATATAACTACCATTTAAAATACTTTGGTTTGTTTCGGTCTGGGATTGAAACCCATTGCCTTCCTTACATTGCCAAACGTTCTGATATATACAAATAAACGTGGGGTGCCAAGGGAGGCGACACGAAGTAAAGAGATCAAGAATAGGAATGGAAATACCACCTGTAGTTTTACTCTTGTCATGTTCTACAATGACAAAAAGGAAAGTCCTTGGTATAAAAGGGATAGGTGGATCGGTCTTCGGACTCTCCCCTCGATCAGCCTGGCGTGTTAAACTGTTTATATCTACATGTATATCAAGCATAGCATAGCATAGCGAAGCCCCCAGCCCCTCCCCTAGCTGCGGGAACCGTAGCTTCTAGGCCCGTTTTATTTTAGTTTTTTTTTTAGTTTTTTTTTTAAATTATCGGACCATAGATAAAAAATAATAAAAAATAATAATAAAAACCCGATTGGGCCTAGAAGCTACAGAACGATACCCGTTGCTACCCTTCCTCCTACAGTGCAGCATAGTGCCAGCCATCGTGGTCGGGATTGGGAGGATTGTGATTTTTACAAAATTTATTGTAACACCGAATAGAAATCAAGTGTGCAGTGCCTTTTTGGATGAGACATATTTTTCTGTAGTTGTCCGTATTATAAGTTGTATCTCTGAAAAAGTACAGTCTGCCTGTATGGCATCATCGATTCTCCAGGGGTGCTCTCTGCACCCTGGAATAAGTCATAACTAAACAGAAGGCAATAAGCTTATACCCTGGAGTATCGAGGATACCTGTATGGAAGCGCACGTTCTCGTAGTATTTTATTTATTGATCAATAATTTCTAATGTTTGAAGACGGTTACTTCTGCGAATATAAACGAAATAATTAAGAAGAAAAAATCTATGCACGAGACATTTCCATTCACCCTCATAAACATCTGTTTGTGTTGTAGCCGAGAGACTGTGGGTCGGAGGGACATGGGGCAATGGTTCGTGGCATTACACGACTGGAGAAGGTCTTAACCAAACTCAGAATTACTGGCACCAAGTCTTCAATGATTCCGAGGACGACGCCTCATGTCTGTCTTTCTTTAACTTTGTCTTCTATAGCGGCGTCTGTGGCAACTTCTACTCATTTTTTTGCGAAGAAATTTGGTAAATAACAAGTAACTGTGAGTACATGATACTAAACCGCAGCACGTGTGCGCGTGGACACTTTTATTTATAGTTGATTAAAAGATGAAAATTCAGACTTTTGATTTGTGTTTTCACAAACTTCAATTCTTTGTTCTTAGAAAAAACACCACGATGCCTTCCTCGGGTTATCCTATGAGCTGTTAAAGCTAGTAAACATTTCTGTATATTATGTAAGAGAAAATAAATAAATAAATAAGTAAGCGTAACGTTACGCAGTTTGGTCCGTGGTAAAAACACAGTTATCGTTTATGAATGCGATCTTGTCAGTAAAAGCGTTCATAAGTCCAAGAGGAACTATTGTGTTGACAAACTAGAATTTCCCGCAATAAAGTGGGCGGTTTAGAAACAGTTCCACTACAATCTTTACATGAATCTTTTTTATATCTTTTCTGTACACACGTATTGGCTTGAGCATAGAATCTGAGTTTGAGCGAGAATGTAATTAACGTGCGGGCGTGCGGGCGGGCAACCATCCAACCGCTGACCACACTCGACGTTGCTGAACTAGTGAGAGGGACCAGTATGAAGGGAAGAAATGCCACATGTTTAACATTATCACAGAACCTATCCTCAGTGAAAGTAAGTCCAAACCACGAGCTGACGCCATCGTTAATGATGAGACGGCCACGGACACTATCGACGACGGGAATTACCTGGATCTCCTCAGACATCTATGTGATAGCGGCTCATATTGTACATGAATGCAGAAAATAAAAGTGTTTCAGGCACTGAGTGCAGATGACATCTTCTCTAGCAGAGAACCTGTATCAGCCTAGCTATAAGACACGTGATGTGATTGAATTACTACAATGTAAACTAAAATGCATTCAAGACAGCCGATACCACATCTGACATCATATAATTTCCGAACGCTGTAGCCATGGTAATTTTGTTGCCTTTTGCATATCCATGTAAGTGGAATCGTTAGACATGTACATACACGCTTGTACCCTCAACTTCGCAGGTTAAGCAATCGGGAACAGTCGGAACTTTCCGCAAACGAATGCTCGTTTTGGATGCTCCGGCATGGGATCAGAAATAAAAGTATGAACCTAAATGACGCATTCCTGCCTGATATTTAATGTTACATTGCTGTTACATAATGTAGCCATCTGCTGCTGTACTGATCCGCAATTTCTAGCCGAAGAAATAGATATGTCATTCTCAGATTACAAATATCAACATGTTGTGTTGTGAATTTGCTCGTGTGTGAAAGAAAAAATATACCAGTTCCTGATCAGGTGGTTAGGGCGGGTAACTCTTATTTCTACTCATTACCGTTATATGTGTAACAGGAGAAATGTGTCCCGGAAACCCCGCAGTAGGGCTTCAGCAGAGGAATGGTCCGATATATCTATCATCACAGAAATGCGTACGCACTAATATCCGTTTCGTTTAGACAATGATAATGGAAGCGTATAACGTGCACACATATCAAATTATTGTCAAGCATGATTTTTTACTATCATATCAACATGTCGCAGTCATTACGTTTTGCAATTCTTTAATTTCCATATTTAATGAGGGACAACGCGCGTACAGATCTCTAGGTAATAACTCGCTGTGCAGTAAATGAGAACATATAACTAATCAAGAGGTCGGTAGGTGAATTTTAGTTGTAGGCGCCAAACATAATTGAGTGCGTGTCTCTCCAGATTGTCGAAGTCGAATTAACTAAAATTTATCATGAGATATAAATGTATATATACGTTTACTTAGTCAAGTATGGATTCTTACAGCTTCTAGTCTTTATACATGTATTGTTTTAAATAATTGACCAAAACTGCGATCGCCTTCAAACCAGATCTTTAGGTCTATTCCATTCCTATGCTCTACGTTCCTTTGAATGTCCACCACGTGGAGTATACCGGAGTTGAATAAAAGATCTGCTTTTAATCAGATTGACCAAAACTGTATTTCTATATTATTATTATTTCCTTTATTTCCTCCAGAAATGAAGAGTTACAGAAATAACGAACAAAACACTATTGAAGAGAGAAGAAAATGCGTTCACAATCATGGTCACACCCTGACATAGTGACTCACACATGCACATGGAAGACACACACATAGGAAGACACACACATAAGAGAATAATAATAGTACACGCATCATACCATAAAGTACTATAAACACAACACAATGATATAATAGGTACTATTACAGTCATTATACGGTGATAATTATGATGATAGACAGTATAACACTAATCATATATTACATCACACATTGATATAATAGACATATTTACACTCCTCAGACTACATTATCATATAATAGTATAGACAGTAATCCACTTCTCGTACTAAGCAATCATACAACATTGTAATAAACAGTATTACAAGCATCGCACTATAAATTATACAGCATTATTATAGACAGTATTACTGTTACATAAGTCTTACAATACAATCATACATTGAGTAGAACCCGTTGCACGAAGTCATACAACATAGTCATACAGTGGTGTGAAATACACAACATACAATATAATAATTAACTTGAAGAAACAGCGCAACCATACAATGATTTCAGTTGTAGTAATACATCTCACAAGATTAATTCATACAATACAAACAATATTATGAATGGTAGTAAGTTGCACTAATCAACAGGAAAGACGTAGGAAATGCTTGCCTACTAATATGAATACAAAAATATATGTATTTCATGTATTCATCTTGCTGAAGCGTGAGGTACACACAAGTAAATTAGTGATCATATTACTGAGTATATAACATTCAAATTTCTAAGGACAAATTACATAATGCCACTGTATTGAAGAATTTTAGTAATAATAACAATGGATTTTATTCTAATGGGTGTAACACCGGAGAAATAGGATTTTGTTCTTTAGAAAAGGATTTGGATTTATCATGAATTTATTGAATTGAATATTAACCCCCAACCATTGTTTTCAAGTTAACTTGCCTCTGAAAAGATGAATTAATTTTTTTCGCGCGGTTTCGATATAAACGACTTAATATAATCTGACGCATGCGCAAAGTAATTACGCGAAACATCTTCCTGTCCCGGAATTCGAAGCTGGAGAACAACAGCACGTGTGTTTGTTTTGATGAAGACTGCGATAGGTTTTAGCGTAAGTATTCACGTGAATCCTTGCCAGACATGATGCATGTGCACCGAAATGAACTCATATATGGATAGCAGAAACGTAAGTACTGTCGTAACAGTAAACAGGTGAATTTCAAAGGACGTGGATTATACTGCAAACAGGAGTTTTGCTGTCTTGTCGATTTATGGTTATATCGGCCCACGGTAAAAACGGCCTCGATTTACCCAAGTGAAATCGGCCCTATGTATACATGGAATATACATTAATGTTATAATAATCCCTTTCTTTGGGTTTCATTTATATATCAACCTCTGAACATATGATATATCTTTAAATTAATAAATTCCTTTCTGCATTTCCTTGCCTCAGTCGCGAGTTCCACAAGGGGAGGTAACCTGTACTAATGTAATCTGTTACATACGTCGCGTAAGATAGTTATCATTTTGTGTGTAATCTGAAACACTGACATTATTTAATTAGATTTAATTATTGGAATGATCACTGTCCTACACTATTTGTCCTATTCACCGCACTATTTCACTATTCAACACTATTTGTCCTTTTCACTGTTCTACACTATTTGTCCGAAATGATCACCCTCTGGGTGCGTAGATGTTGCCCACCTTCTGCAGGAAGTCTGATGTTGTGAGGCGGTTGTCCAGATCCCCAGAGTCGAGCCGGTCCCTCAGGGTAAAGCTCTTACCCTGGACACGCTTGTAGGTGGTGGTCTGGTGGCGAGCCAACAGGTTTTCTCCCACGAGTCGCATCTGGACATTCACGATCTCTCCTTCCTTCTTCACGAGAGGGACCAGGAGCTAGAAGGGGAGGTTCGCTCGACCGGCCTTGCCATTCATCCTGCGGTGCCATCCTGTAAATGAAATATACATATTTAAAGAAACTTGATTTCATTATATATTATTTGTCCTTCTACATGTTCGGACATCAGTATTAATAAAATCATAGTTTCGGCCTACATGTACACGAACATACACAATTTGACTTTATCAAACATTAAATGACCGCCGACGATATGTGGAGCGGAATTATAATATTTAATAAAATCAAATATCGACATACGTGTACATGCTTATGAGAAACATGATTTCATTAGAAACTCAGTGCCCGTACGTGTATTTTGTACGAGCGCTAGTATCAAATGAAACCATATTTCGGCCATAAATGAAATATACATATTTAAAGAAACTTGATTTCTTTTCATTATATAATTGTACTTACAAATGGGCTAAAAGTATCTAATGAAATCTAGTTGCTTAAATAACGATTAAGAATTTATTCCTTTTATGGCCGAGATAATTTTCGTATGTTTTATTAAACGAAACAATATTTTCGGCCAACAATGGAATCTATATTCGAATTACATACCAGTATCACATGTCCTGTGTTGCCATCTGCTACATGTGTCGCACTGCAATGCATGCTGCCTCGGCCTCACCAGACGGTCACATTGTAGACAGTTGTTGCTCATGTTGATTAGGTGCAAAGTGTTGTTCAAATGATGTAAGTCGATTGAAAGTGATTGTCCAAGAAAACCAGTCATATTTATCACCATTTGCGTGAGTGATCAATACATTTGATTGGCTACCTGGATTTGAGGCGGTGATGAGGTACTCAAGAGTTGATTATGAGCTACTCACCTATAACGCGAACATCGTTGTTTGTGTAAGGCAATAAAAACAAAACAACAACAACAGTACGTAATTAAATAAATCCTTTAATGTGTAATAAATGTATAAATCCCATGTATTTAACATATAGATACATCCTTGGGCCGATATAAACAAATACCGTCTTGTCAGTGATGTGTTGCTGTTTTGTGCCTCCCTGTCACAGCCCTAATGTCAATTTTAAAAAGTGTTTGCTTCCGCCTTTCCTGTTCCACATAGCATCATCTAAATAAAAAAAGCACAGGAGATTCAAGGTCGTTAATATGTGTTGTCCCTGACTAGTAGAGTTGTCAGGTGGTTCTAAAAAACAGCCATGCATTCTCACACAAAATAACAGTGCTTGGAGAGAGCTTAAAAATTGAAATATGTCCAAATGTTTTTGGCCTTGCCCTGACATAAGATCAAAAAATAAATCTATTGCATAATTGGTTTTATTATTGATTTTACAATATTCATCTTTCCTCTTATTTTACAGACTAAATCTATATATATTACATTCTTGTTTGATAACTGAGCTACACCTGTGTCATTGTTTATGGTCACAGATGCCGAAATGGTCAATCTACAGTGTAGATGTCTATGTCTTAGAGTGCTATACCGAAAATGGAAAAGTCGTATATATACAGTTAGATAATAAATTTTGCTCATGTAACATCTATTTTGTGAGTTTGTGACAGTGTATTTTAAGTGTCAAAGATACGTACAAAGTAACTGGGACAGTTTGAACTGTGGAAAAAAGTATACTTACACTTATCCAATAGTAATGTAGCTGTTATTGTTACCTTCTGAAGTGTTAATAATTTAGAATGAATGTCTTATAGTTATTAATCTAGTAGTGCTAAATCAGTTGTAGCATACATGCATGCATCCATAGATTTTAATGTAGCTCTGAACTTTCTTTAGACTGTTTTTGTTTTATTTTTATTTAGGTGTGACTTGGAACAAAACACACAGCTATGTTGAGACTTCACAGGGTAATGATGTTCCTTTCTAGACGAGGAGGACAGCTTCAGGGGGGAGTCCTCGTATCACAGCAATCAACAGAGGCTGCAGAGCCAGGGCTTCCAGTACTTACACTCTATACTAAAGACAACTGTCAGCTTTGTGAAGAAGCTAAAGAGGCTCTCACACCCCTCAGTCATAGGGTAAGTGTACATGATCGCTTCATTCATTGCTTAACCCTGTACACAAAAGACAACTGTCAGCTTTGTGAAGAAGCTAAAGAGGCTCTCACATCCCTCAGTCATTGAGTAATTATAAGTATATGACACTGTCAGTGGTTTTATTTTGTGTCTCTTTCCAATGTCCCAGACATTTAGTTTTATCATTGGAATTTGATGTGTACAGTTATCACCCATAGAAAGCATATGCATAAGATTGTGAGGCAATAACAACACACAGTTTCGTCAAAATAAAAAAAATATTGTGTTACCGCAAAGCCTACCTACCCTAGATTTTTGTGCCTATCCTAATTTTTTTGCTGGCATTTATTGATATTCACTGTTGTAGTCAGAAATCCTACTCAATATATAAGCATAGGAGAAATATTTAAAAAAAATAAAATAAATGCCTGCCTACGTATATACTTACTCTATTTTTCTAAGGATGATAGTGGCCTTATGATATTTTGTTTATGATGTACTTACTCTATTTTTCTAAGGATGATAGTGGCCTTATGATATTTTGTTTATGAAAGTAGCTAGCTGTCCTGAAGCTAACACTGAGTTAACATTGACATTTGAAGCAAATCAAAAGGCAATGGAAGTGATACATATATGTATTGTACTCTTTGTAATATGTTATATTTAGTCATTTCCAACAATTGAAAATGACAAAATGCGTGAAATTTAATGAAAACAAATGGGACCCCAGTGCTAACAGTTGTAATTTTTCATTTGACAGTTCCAGCTCGAAGAGGTGGATATTACAGAGTCCAGCAATAAGGAATGGCTGAAGTACCGCTACGACATACCAGTATTTCATTTTGATGGAAAGTATTTGATGAAACACAGAGTCAACCTGAAGGATTTTGAACAAACTTTGACAGATTATGAAAATATCCATGGCAGATCCTGAAGATAATCTTATGTGTGCTTATCATTTGTTTGTGATGCTTATCTTATAGGGAGAATACTGATCTCAAACGTTTCATTTGATGGGACTATTATAAGGTTTTTATTCTTATATTGTGCAGTATTTGTTTCAGAACAAATTGATGTTAATTTTTTTTCGCTTTTATTGATATCATGCAGGTCAATTGATTTTTCATGAATATTTATTATTGTGATGTGCTTAAATCTACATATTTTGTGAGTATTTTTTTAATTATTGGTTCAATATTGAGACCAGCATACACATACTTTTGGTTGAATTACAATTCATTTATATCTTAAGGATTGATGTTTTCAGTGTCCATTGTCTGTCTCGGTGTGTCCCGAACTTTGTTTTACTGTCTTAACATGTCTGGTAAAAATGAGTTGGTTTGGTAAACATTCTTGAGATTTTGATCGGAGAAGGAATGAAAACTATTTTTAGGTCTGGTGGTCCCTATAATAGTTTTAAACACGATTTTCTGCACCTTGGTTCAGAAGATTGGTTTTGGTCAGTTACTTACATACTACATGTCCTACTTTAACTAAGATTAGCTTATGCACCTAAGGGCTGCATGTACCAGTATAACATCTACCCCACCCCAGGCTTCGGTTTGTCGATGGGTACCACACACAGAGTAATTGAACTTGAATAGATAAACATTTTTGATAGACAGGAACCCAAACTCTGGATTGATGTATTTTTGAGTCCTGGGGTCGGGATTTTTTTTCAAAATTGGAACTGATTACCGGGTAGAAGAACAAGATGCAACCATCTTGGAATACGACAGTTCAAGTAGATTCTCTTACCTGTGACTTTATAGTCCTAAATAGGATAATTTTACTACAACCAACTCTTAATATTACTGGGTATAATTATCCAATATAAAGCAAACCAATTATCTCCTGATCATCATGCCTGGAACTCAAAACAAGAATAGAATGTTGGTTTATTGAAAGATAAGAATAGACTGTTGGTTTATTGAAAGGTACTGTAGATGGTGTAGGTTTTCTTAAGATATTGAATTGTTGTGTGAGGAATGCATTAAGACAAATAAAGAGAAAAAAATACAATCCAACCAGGCTTGGCCTCTTGATCCAGCTTGCCCTGGGGGACTTAATCCCTGGGTTATAACATGGAAATGGTTGAAATCATCTATAACCATGATTATATTGTAGTAGGACGAGGAATAGTGATGGGGCTCGAACCGGGGACCCCAGGCTCTCCAGCCTGATGCTCTACCGCTGAGCTTAAGGGAAATTCTCTGCAGCTGACACTTGTAATGCAATCTAATCAATGCACATCTTTTACAATATTACTCAAAATAATAATGGTACATTTGTTAAAATGGTTCAAACAAAAATGTTGAGATCACCTCTCCATAAGCATAGAAGCTCTTGCTGAGTATTATTAGATAAAACATGTATGTTATATGCAATAGACTGTGAGAGACAAAAACCTTGGAAAGGGAAGAATCTTCATTTTCCTATATAACGGAGAATACTCAAAATGAAAAATGTTTGTTTTATGTCTGAATTTCTGATTGATACTGGTATTGTCTCGTATATTTTTTGTTGATTATTGTAATTTATCAATGTTTTATATATATATTCTATTAATATGAATATGGTCTTATTTAAAATTGTACTTTAATATACATGTTGATGTTGCATGAACATCGATCACATATCTGTATATTAACCCAGTGAATACGTAATGTAATACATGTAGGATCTTACATGAGTTTCCATTCCTATGAGATTTATGAAATTCGTAACGAGTTTCATAAATTTCATATGAAATAAAAATCACATAATAAAGATTTGTGGCATTTATTTGTGTAACACTGCAATTTTCATGCAACCTTGAAAGTCTGTTACATCATGTACTTGTCCTAGGCGTGACGTCACAATTGAAACAATTGAAACTTACAACCAATCACAGGGCTGATAGGTCATATAACATAATAATAATAATAATAATTTGAGGTTCTTATATACCCCCTTATCACAACCTAGTTTGTAGGTCGTCTCAAAGCGGTTCACAAACTATTATCCGGGGTTATAGGGCCTTTGCAACCAGCCACTACCTTTCTCAAATCCCTGTGGAGCATACAGCTGGAGCTGCCATTTCGGCGCTAACAGCTAGCATTCAACAATTCCAGCACTGCCCAACCACGTACTCATTTACAGCTGAGTAGACTAGAACAAGCGGAGTAAATTATCTTGCTCAAAGATACAACACAGTGCCGTGCCATGACTCGAACCCGCAGCCCTTCGGTCACGAGCCTGGCATCCTACCACTAGACTACCGTGCCTCCTTACATGTTAACATGCAAATAAATATGACATGGGTATTATTCACTGGATAACACAGTACATTATGTGATAAATGTTATTATCATATGCTTGAAAACCGAACTGTTAGATTCAACACTGGCTAAATTTTACACAGAGGCTCGTTCAAGTAAATGTTAACTATACAAAATATTATTGTTGGGGCAAATTATAAAACAGCTATGGGCTTTTGTGCTGGTAAATAGGATGTGATATGAACCTGAAAAAGTGATATTGACCGAGGCGTACTTTTCAGGTTCATATCACATCATATTCACCAGCACAAAAGTCCAAAATTGTATATTATGTTATGAAAAAGAATAGAACAAGATGACTTATTGTTTGCACATATTTGTTAACAAAATGTTAAGTTTGTTTGATGTTGAAATAAAGATTATATATATGCACATGTATGAATTTGTTATTCGTCAATTTATATCAATGACTTTTCTTGCATATATTTAAAAATTTCAAAAACGGAGATTGGTAATAATTGGTTGGATTTTGCTTGTCAAGAAACTTTGGCATTGGAAAATAACATTGTAATAATGATTTTTCAGGTTGAAACAATAGAGATGAGATGGGATTACCTCCCATTATAATATAGAGGATTTTGCCCCAGATTTCCAGTGTTTTCAAGCATCATTGATTGACATATGGCAATCTCATTTTGTTTGGTACACTTCAAAAAGTCCACATGCGTTGTAAAGTTACCAGTGTCACACTGTTTCTGTGTGTGATATAAGGCTTGTGTACTTTCAAATGCAAGGGTTCTCACGTTTATCTTCACTCGCTGCGAACAGTTAATACATACATCATTAACCATGGACCCAGTATACTTAGTCTTTCTGTTAACTGGATAATCCACATGAAAAGAACCAGAAGGAGCTGGTACATTTCATGCTCCGAATTTAGATATGAAAATAGTGTTATCATTCTAAAGCACTTATATTATATAATTTTCTTACACTGAAGGTATTTAATGGATGGTTTAGAACTTCCATGCTACTGGAAAAATAACCATAAAACTATATATCTTCTAAATAGCGTCTGTCTACTGAACTTCTGTAGATACATTTTTCATAAGAACCAACAAAAAGACTTCGGGTTTTAATATTTGGGTTCTGTCTAAAAGGGGAAAGAACTATAAGATTGTTAAAAAAGCTTTTAAGGTCACTTTAATGTCAAAAGAAATACCTCAAAAAAGACAGTGAAACCTGTAAACCTGATATGTGTCCAGATGTTTAATGTGTATAACGTTTCTTTGAATTAATGACATTGACCCACGTCGAAGATCACAAGTCCAATATGTTAAGGATATCTTAAAATTTCCAAAAAAAACATGAGGCATGGGATCATGGTATTTCCCTGCTGCTACCTTACGTGAAGGACTATCGAATTTGTTGAAATTAATTACATTTCGACCAAGGTCAAAGTTAAAATGATTTTAAAATCTTAAACTTACTTCAAATATACCATTAGATATATGTTGATGATATTTGGCCTGTAGATATCTGGGTTAAAGGGCTATTAAATATTGAAATAAATGTTCTTAAACCACGTTCAATATCGCTAGGACCAAATGTATTAAACTCGTCAAAAATATGTCTTCTAACTATCTTTTTCATGAGTTCTAGTGTTATGAGATTTTACTGTTAGCATGTCATTTTAGAGATAGAGTAATGATAGATTGTTGGTATATGATATATGTATTCTCTTATTGATTATTTGTGTGAATCTATTTGAAACATATCTTGTGTCTGTTGTCATCAGTTAAAACAACAATATGGATGGTTCTAAGAAAATGGTAAACCTACTACTGTTTATTTGGACTATATTTTAGAGTTGTTCAAACGTGAAGCGTAGCAGCATTGGTAATTATAACTTTTGTCATGGAACATATGTTTGGTTCATGTTTATTTAAATTTCCAGCTGGTTTCTGGTAGAAGATGGTGCTGGGAGCCCCGCTTTATTCTCTAGATGGTGTCCTTACACGAGAGTGCTTGCGTCCTAGTTTTATATCTTCAATTAACGCTTTTCCAATACCTTTTGATAATGTTTTACACCTTTACCAGTATGTCTACATTCATACAACATATCACACAGCTGTGACGGACGGCAACATGATAACATATATAGAGACAGTCTTGTTTTATTGGGTTCATGTGATGCGAGTTGGCCAGCAACAGCCCAACTGTTGATATACATTTGAAAATAATGCGGAAGTTATGCTTTCGTTGCCAAATTATCAAACAATAGTCAATTTCGAAATAATAATTAAAATTATCAATCATGCGAATAAAGATGTATCATTGTAGACAAGACTTCTCCAACACCAAGCTAAATGGTTAAACTCCGATGTTAAATCAGCTTCTGTATTTGATCAGTCTCGCACGTATTTATATAAACCTCTGTACGGTTCAAATTGGGCATGTTTTATGGTACACATCATGAACAAGCTTAAAGTATTCGTTATCCTTGTGTGATATGAAGGTCAATGTTGATGAATAATATGGACATGTTTTATGGTAAACATCGAATACCGTTACATTCGCGACAACGTTAGAAAACATTTATATATTTGAACAAGTTAATAAACTTGTTTGGTTCATAAAAAGAAATCGTATTACGGTCGTGTGCATACTTTGAAATTATGATTGACTCCGAGAGGATGTTTATGTCGTTTCCNGATATATTTGAACAAGTTAATAAACTTGTTTGGTTCATAAAGAGAAATCGTATTACGGTCGTGTGCATACTTTGAAATTATGATTGACTCCGAGAGGATGTTTATGTCGTTTCCTGGTCTTACCGCTAACTTACAGTTTAGACAATATATTATCGAACTTTTAGAGCGACTTGTCTGCAAAGATGCTCGGATGTCTTGATAACAATCTACGCACATGTTAGTCCTGTCGTTTTAATTGCCGAGTTATGTATTCAATTCAAAGCTAGAGATGCGAGCACACTGGGCTGTAACACAATGTCATGTACACGTACACAATATAGCGGACATAAAATACAATGTTGTTATGATGCTGTGTGATATGTGTAAAATCTATTGATTTGATGTTGTTGTCAGCTTGGTAACATTTGGGTAAATAATTGTAACACCTTCATAAAAAGGATTGCCACGTGTAACAGTAAAAACACTATACCATGATTCGGATGGTAAGCTTATACATGTACGTGTTATACATGTAAATAGATATATCTAATTTGACAGCGTACAGCTAGTAAAACGTTTGCTGATTTCTTAGACAAAACAAACTCGGTTTCTATTCAGAATCTGTGATAAATACAATNTTAAAACACGCTATACCATGATTCAGATGGTAAGCTTATACATGTACGTGTTATACATGTAAATAGATATATCTAGTTTGACAGCGTACAGCTAGTAAAACGTTTGCTGATTTCTTTGACAAAACAAACTCGGTTTCTATTCAGAATCTGTGATAAATACAATTAGTTGTCAGAGAATGAGACGTAACATTGGAGGCGCATTATTCGGCTATAAACAATCTACAGACCAATGCTCGTTGCACTTTAACGCTTCAAACTTATGAATTGGAAAAGAATAAGTAACAATTAATATCCTGATTATGATCACCTTAAAATAGGTTCACAAACATCCTAATGTGTTTTATGTTATATAAGTTTTCTGTTAATTAATGCAAGCTTGCTTTACTTGTCTTAATGATTATAACACTGCCTTAGTCTACTTACGTCGTCGGTAAAGCTATACCCGTAACTGCAGTTACGTGTAGGTGCATTTACCGCTAAGAGTGTGTTCTACCTTCGTTTGTTACACAGGTATATATTTTGNTATGCAAGCTTGCTTTACTTGTCTTAATGATTATAACACTGCCTTATTCTACTTACGCCGTCCGTAAAGCTTTACCCGTACCTGCAGTTACGTGTAGGTGCATTTACCGCTAAGAGTGTGTTCTACCTTCGTTTGTTACACAGGTATATATTTTGTTAGAGACATCTGTACCTTTCTTTTTACAAAACTTTTAGCATCTCATACACTGCTTCAAACGCTATGTAAAACATGTAAATATAGAAATATATAGGTCCGAGAGAATGACGAATTGATAACTCTATCTGTACAAACACCTATGTAATATTTCCAAATTGATTTTAGACGATAACCATACGTGTGTAAAAATCACCAGGATTTAAAATGTATCTGAATGTCCCAGGGGAGACTATCGCCCTCTGTATGTGTTGAGAGCATACCTTGGGTCGTGAGATTTTCTACGAATTGGTTTCACAAACGTCTGAGTAAAAACTGTTATTGGATTTGGAATAAAAGGTTGGACAGTAAGCCAATGCTATCGTCAACGTTTATGTTAACCTTAAAATAAATCAAACACATATACAACTGCAGTATTCAATTATAAGAATGTTCCTCGAATGGTGTTTTTTTCGATTGAACAGCAATACTGAAATTAATGGAAATATCTTCAACGTTAGATTTTGTTGACCTCATTAATGTTTTCCGTTTGCAAAAACTTTTCAATTTCATATTAATTGACAGGTAATATGTATGCATTACAGGTACATCTTACAACTAAGCTGTACGATCAGCGGGATCAGCGTTTTCCGATGGTAAGCTTTCCCTTTCTTTACAATAACATCCCTACATCCCAAACCTACAGTGTTTACATGTCGCAGTTGATTTTATATCAAAAAGCGTCCTCCTCCACGTATATTATTTTCGTGCTATCGGATAACACTGTTGTCGGATACAATTCCGCGTATGGTTTCCACAAAATGCAGGGATGAAGATTATGGACACATTTTCTTGACCCTGATTGCATGGTTCGAGCCGTTGATAAAGCAGTAGACACTTACCCGGTCTAATTCACCCGATCCTACTCTCTTTGTACATTTTTAAGAGTCTCCATGTTATTTTATTTTTCTTCGTGCATACTTTGCCTAATGTTATCGAGTCATATTGCGGTTATGTTCTGTCGTTGTAAGTTTTTGTTTTTTTTGTTAATGGTTTCTTTTCTTTTTGTTTCTGATTTTTTGGAGCTTTTGTTATGTTTTTATTACCTTTATAAAACAAACTTATATTTGTTCTAAAATTCGTAGATATTGCTATTCTTATTAACGTTACCACACATTATCAACCTTATGTATCGGTCTAAATGATGGAAGGAGTCAAGTTATATCAATATCTGTTAATCTAAAGCTGGCAGCAGTAAATATTTTCCTTAAAATACTATAAATAAGTTAGATAGCACTTATCTATAATGTAATATGTTGATTTAGATAGTCAAACAAAGTAAAAATTATACTGCACACCATATATGGTAATCTTGTCTATTTAAGACTCGTCTGTGGTACTAATAGTCAAAACAATTAAAACCCTTGTGCTAAGTGTTCTGAAAAATACGTAGAATACAGCGAACCGGAAAAGAAGCATATACACTCTTTATATCGTTACAAGTTTACATCTTTCATATGTTTGAATTTTAACTTTTCAATGCAAAAAGCCAAACAGTAAATACTTTACTGCACCATATTGTCATATATACACGTTGCACATAGCGCCGACTTCCAGTAAAAGGTAAAAGTAAAGTGAGCGTTGATAAAATAGTGGGAGTTTGAATTTTCCCTAGATATGTAACAACACATAAACATAACTTTAGTTTAGCAAGAACTGTCAACTAATACAAATCCAATATATGGCGACATATTGGTGCCTTAGTTTTTGGCACTTTTAAACCAAGCGCCTAATAACTTAAAATATAACCAAATTTACGATTTAATGTAGGTTATAGGCCTATCACTGCGTTTTAAAGGGCTGTTATTGTAGTCAAGC